CTCTACTGTGTTTCCTATACAGCCAGAACACTGAGGTTGCTCAGACAAAAACAACTGTGCTTCCTACACACACACGTCAAATCTGGTTCAACTCTGCTTAGGAAACTGAGCACAACAGTAGCTTCTCTAACATGCAATGCACTGTACATGCTGAGAACAGACAGCTGCAAGTGCCATTTCCACTGTGTATCTCAATGGGAGCCCAATTGCACGTTTCCTTACACGAAAAGAACTATTGCACACAGGATAAAAGATTGCATGTGATTCAACTCCATTTATGAAGTGGAATTCAACACTGGGTGGTGTAATCAGAATCACACTCTGCTTTTGAGAAAAAAGCACACTTCTACTCTACTGTGTTACCTATTGTGGCAGAACAGTGAGCTTACTCAGACAAAAGAACTCTGCTTCGTAAACAAAAGGGCCATATCTTGTTCAACTCTGCTTATGAAACAGAGCACAACTGTAACTTCTCTTCCATCCATAGCACTGTACTTGTTGGGAACAGACGCGAGTACCATTTCCACGGTGTATCTCAATGGGAGCCCAAAAATGACATTCCTTTCCAGAAAAAAACTGATGCTAGTAGAATAAGAGACTGCATATGATTAAACTTTGATTATGAAGGTGAATTCAACACTCGGTTGCTTTAAAGATATTAGAGTTCTTCTACTCTACTGTGTTTTCTATACAGCTGGAAGACTGAGCTTGCTCTGAACAAATGAACTGTGCTTCCTGAACACACAGGCCATATGTAGTTAAACTCTGCTTATGAAACTGAGTACAACAGCAGCTTCTTTCCATCCAATGCACTGTACTTACTGGGATAGACACGAGTGCCATTTCCAGTGTGTGTCTAAATGGGAGCCCAATGGTGACTTTCCTTACCTGAAAAGCACTGTTACTCAGAGGATAAGGGACTGCAAGTGATTCAACTCCATTTACGTAGGGAAATCAACACTGGTTTCCCTAATGAGAAACACACTCTGCTTTTGAGAAAAGAGCACTCTTCTACTGTATTGTGTTTCCTATACAGCCAGAACAGTGAGCTTGCTAGAACCAAAGAACTGTGCTTCCTACACACATGAGCCATATCTAGGTCAACTCTGCTTTGCAAACTGAGCACAACAGTAGCTTCTCTTCCATCCAATACACTGTACTTCCTGGGATGAGATGCGAGTGCCATTTCCACAGTGTATCCTAATGGAAGCCCAATAGTGACTTTCCTTACCCAAAAAGAAGTGTTGCTTGAAGGCTAAAAGTCTGCATGTAATTCAACTCCATTCATGTAGGGGAATTCAAGACGTGATTGCCTAATGAGAAACACACTCTGCTTTTGAGAAGAGAGCACTCTTCTACTCTACTGTGTTTCCTAAATGGCCAGAACAGTGAGATTGCTCAGACCAAAATACCTGTGCTTCCTACACACACGGGACAAATGTAGTTCAACTCTGCTTAGGAAACTGAGCACAACAGTAGCTGCTCTAACATACAATGCACTGTACTTGCTAGGAACAGAAGTGAGTGTCATTTCCACTGTGCATCTCAATGGGAACCCAATAGTGATTTTCTTCCCCGAAACGAAATGTTGCTCCTAGGATTAGAGAATGCATGTGATTCAACTCCTTTTATGAAAGGGAATTCAACACTGGTTGATTAATGAGCAACACACTGTACTTTTGAGAAAAGAGCACTCTTCTACTCTGCTGTCTATCCTATACAGTCAGAACAGTGACCTTGCTCAGACTAAAGAAGTTTGCTTCATACACACAAGGGCCATACCTAGTTTAACTCTGCTTAGGAAAATGAGCACAATATTAGCTTCTCTTCTATCCAATGCACTGTACTTGCTGGGAACAGACAGCAGTACCATTTCTAGTGTATATCTCAAAGCGAGCCCAATAGTGACTTTCCTTACACGAAAAGAACTGATGCTCGTAGGATAAGAGAATGCATGTGAATCAATTCCATTTATGAAGGTGAATTCAACACTGGGTTGCCTAATGAGAAACACATTCTGCTTTTGAGATAAGAGCACTCTTCTACTTTACTGTGTTTCCTATACAAATAGCACTGTGAGGTTGCTCAGACCAAAAGAACCATGCTTTTACAAACAAGGGCCATATGTAGTTTAACTCTGCTAGGGAAATTGAGCACAACAGTAGCTTCTCTTCCATCCAATGCTTGTACTTGCTTGGAATATACATGAGTGTGATTTCTAATGTGTATCTCAATGGGAGCACAATAGTGACTTTTGTTACCCTAAAAGAAATGTTGCTCATAGGATAAGAAACTGCATGTGATTAAACTTCGTTTATTTAGGGGACTTGAACATTGGGTTGCTAATGAGAATGAAACTCTGCCTTTTTGAAAAGAAGACTCTTCTACTCTCCTCTGTTTCCTGTACTGCTGAACAGTGAACTTGCACAGAACAAAAGAACTGTGCTTCGTACACGCACGGGTCATCTCTAGTTCAACTCTGCTTAGGAACCTGAGCACAACATTAACTCCCTTCCATCAAAGCACTATACTTTCTAGGAACAGATGGGAGTGCCTTTTCCAACATGTATCTCAATTGGAGCGCAATAGTGACTTCCCTTACCCAAAAAGAACCATTGCTCCTTAGATAAGAGACTGCATGTAATTCAACTCTTTTCATGTAGGGGAATTCAAAATTCAGTTGCCTAAAGGAAAACACACTCTGCTTTTGAGAAAAGAGCATTCTTCTACTCTACTTTGTTTCCTATATAGCAAGAACAGTGAGCTTGTTCAGAAAAAGAGAACTGGGCTTTCTATACATATCTAGTTCAATTCTGCAAAGGAAATTGAACACAACAGTAACTTCTCTTCCATCCAATGCTCTGTACTTGCTGGGAACAAACGTGAGGGCCATTTCCAGTGTGTATGAATGGGAGGTCAATAGGTTCTTTCCTTGCCCACAAAAGAACTGGAGCTCATATTAAAAGACTATGAGATACAACTCCATTTATGAAGGAGTATTCAACACCTGGTTGCCCAATGAGGAACACACTTTGCTTTTAAGATAAGAGCACTCTTCTACTCTACTGTGTTTCCCATACAGTCAGAACAGTGAGCTTGCTTAGAAAAA